CTACTATGTGCTTCACTCAAGGGTAAGTCGACTGGCCAGCTACCAAAGCAGATTGTTAAAGACTGCACTGAGCTCCTGATGTTTTTTTCTCAACTGCAGTAACATAAGGATTGAATGTGGACATAAATGTAAACCTAGACCACATCTGCTGATAAAGCTAAGTCTTTGTACTTGCACAACTGCCATTAACTGTACACAAAATACTTAAATTTCATTAATTCTTCATTCAAAAGCTGACCTGCAGTCTGCCCGAGGCAGCCAATGTGAACTGCAGGCTCAGCAGAATTGCACATTAAAGACAGAAGGGAAACAGATTATAATACAAAATCAGACTGCTAGGAAAGTGAATCATTTGTGCAACTGTTAAACACTCAGAGCATTTTGGACACACTTTATCACACCAGATTACAGCACAGCTCTGGTGGCTCTCTTCTGAATGGCAGCATAACAGGTAACAGGTTTGTGTTATTTACCCCTTTCATCACAGGCATGGACAAAACTGGTGCCTTCAGGACTCTGTCATATTCCACTATTAAACTTTTCTTTTGAATTAATTGAAGATACTTCGCTATTTGAAGATTTCTACTTTCCCATAATTGCGTTAATAGCTTGGAGTGTATGTGCATACGTGAAACATTTCTTACCAAATATCTCTCAGGGAACTTCAGATGTGCATCTTTGCCATAAGCATTCCCGCTTCTTCTCATAAGATAGCTTTGATACAGTATTCCAATTCTAACTTATTTTTTGGTAAGATACTTCCACCTTGCATTCATACCTGTCAGACATGGAATGTGGAGTTCCCTGGGTTAACTATTTGCAAACTATTTGAAGGTTTTTCCATTGCCCATCAGGTATAAGCAGCTAAGACCTACCTAATAGGACTCCATCTCTAGACAGTTTCATTTTGAATGACATACATTACCTTGGGCCAGCTTATTTCCATGTTGATTCATGTTCTGCGCTGCTGTGACCTCTAAAGAGAACAACTCAGGGACTCATCTGTCCCAAAGCCATTTGTCTCCTGTTTTAGATTCCTTCCTATTTCAAGTGTACCATAACTGACCTATAGGCACGAAATCCACTCAGGGATGTGACTGGTGACCCTTTCTACGCTTTGTATTAACAAGGTTATTTACAAGATCATTATTAACAAGAGGAAAATATTTTAATTTGCTAGCAAATTCAATTTTCACATCTATGATCAACACAATCATGTCTACAAATAGATGTTTACTCTTACACGCAGGGCTTGGAGACACAAAACATTATGTATTCCTTAACTGTCCCCATGGCATCTATACCTAATACTGTAATCTCAAATTATGCAGAAGTCTGTGGTAACCCAGTTTGTTTTCAGTTATCCAGCACCTTTCTAGTTCATGAATAGTTTAATTTAAAAAAAAGGGGGGGGAGGGAAGCTTATGATAAAAATTCATACCCAGATTTCAAAGACCTAACAGTGTTGGAAGGTGCACAGTAAATCATGCTCAGAATACTTCATGCAAAAATATCAATCAAGAATTTTTGGTGCTTCCACTCAGAGCTGCTTAAATTTGTGATTCATGTGGGAAGCCATTACTAACAACAACAACAACAGTCTCTGCAACAAAAATGTAGAAACTAGAGTTGAATCTTTGGGTTGAGAAGCACAGTGACTTTGCACAGGAATTGCACACACCCCATCTACTGGATTTTCAGAAGACTGAGAATTTTAACAGCAGCAAGGCAAGTTTACCTTGCATTGGAATTATTTACTAAGCAATGCCTGTGAGATTAGTGCTTGATGAAGGTACAAGAGACCATCACCTATCCCAGAACAACCACAAAGCAATCCAGAACTGACAAAACTGTTCAGAGCCTACAATGGTAGAAATACAGGTCACAAGCTAAAAAAAGTAACCCGAATCATCACGGCACCTTGTACATTGTGACAGAAACCTAATAAAGAATCAGAGAAAATGTTCCAGCTGACAAAGGTATTGGTTTTGCTGAGTGCCTGCTGCGCAGCCTGCCTTGCTGCCTTTAAGAGCAGGGGCAGGGGTAACATCCAGCAGAACAGATAAAGGCAGCAAGCGCTCACCCACAGCAGAACTTCAGTCAGTCTGCTGTTGTGCCACCTCTGCAGCACTCCGGGAGCACAGCCATTGTCACTTTTAATTCAAGAAAGTTGCATGCCACGTCATTAGAAGAATTCACAACAAACTTCAGTCACTGAGTCAGAAATGGAACTCGAGTTACGCTTTGTCAATCTGTATGTTTGATCGTGGCAAATCAAATTATCTGCTCGCCTCTGCTGAAAGCTTCCCAAAGCCAGTGCAATCTCCCTCTCCTCTAGTGGTCTGCAGTGCCTTTGTAGCAGATGGTGAAAGCACTGAGAGTAAATCCAGCTACTGGGAACACGGATAGTTTGATTGGAGTGTAAAATTGTGACACTTCTTTCCCCAATAAATTAGTAATGTTAATCTATCCACACTGCCACATCAACATTACCAGCCAGTGTCTGCCTGTTCCTTTCTAACTCCATAGTTGCAGGCAAGGGCTCACAGAAGTGGCCAACAGCCACCACAATGTCAATCTATGGTCTTAGGAGACTAAATACATTTAAATCTGTCAATACACTCTTTATATGAAACTTGTGTAACAGGTTGGCTGTTACTGACAGTTGTGTGAAATAGATGGTAGTGCATGATATAGATTAGGGGGATTTTCAATGCCTCTTCACTTTTCACCCTGGATTTCAAATTTGTTTATTTACCAGTGAAGAAACTCATTCTTGACCACTGGTTTCTTTTACCAGTGCCCTGTCACACAGATGTATAATGGACACGATTTCTAGTAAAAGCCAAAATCACAGAAATTTTATTTTCACATAGGGTCAGAGATGTTTTGAAAACAGACTTTTCAGTTACCTATGAAGTTTAGAGGAAGTTTCAGTGTTACAGAAAGAAAATTTTGTTTTTCCTTCACTTGCTACTCTCCTCCTCACACACCAAAGCCTGCTCTTGCATCCAGTGTCACTTCAGCAGAGTGCACTGGGTTCAGAGCAATGTAATCCATTAAATGTCCAGTTTTCATACAACAGATTAAGTTTTGTTTTAAAATGTTGTCTTTACTCAGAGCATTTAAAACCAGCTGTTTGATAAGAGGCTACTGTTGCTGCTCACCCTTTCTTTCCATTTTCTGTGCAGAAGTTGTGAAGGTACAGTACTGTTTCAAAATGTATGCCAGCCAAGGAGAGTACAGTGATGTGAAACTGGTATTTGTGTTTTGTCAGTACCAGCAAAGGTGTGTCTGCACAAAGCTGTGATAACTGTCAGCAGCTTAAAGCAATTTAGATCTTTGCTTGTTTGTGTGCCAGGCAATCTTAAAGAGCTGCAGAACTGTCTCTTCTAAGCATTAAGATCTCAGTAACTTAAACTATATACACGCCCCAAATTAAAACAGTATATTCATCAATTTCTAGGAATACACCACGGTTTGGATGACACATTATTCCAATGCTCAGTTTCTTCTGGACCTGAAGACATCTTAGAGGTCTTAAAAATCAGCCTTCCTTCAGCTCCAACTGGAGCCAGACCAAGCATTCAGCGCTGGCACCAGACCCACTGCAGTGCCAGACCACTTTAAGCCAAGAGCTGGGGAGGTGTTTTTAGGAACCCTTGCAGATGGCACCTCTGCCAACAAGGTTCAACGAGGTTTCTGCTGGTGACTTGAGAAGACATATTAAATGTCAACTGGCATGTTTATCTTCTTTAAACACTGAGCTTCCTTTCTAACATCTAATAGGGTAGATTACTGGTTTAATACGAATGGAAACTGATCAAAAGGCCCTAGGTTATTTGGTTGGCTTACCTTAAGAACTTTTCCTGCTTCAGTTTCCATGCAAAATATATCAAAAGAGTATTCCTATGAATGGAGAGCCTATCAACTAATCATTTAAGGAGATGAGGAAAACTACCTTTAATACTGGGTTATGGATAAAAATACCAAAAACCTCCCAGACCAACTGAAGGACACACTCCACAAATTTTCACAAGGACTACTTTGGAAAATAAAACCTAGAGAAGCATACTGTATAAGGCCATTTGAAAATTCTATTCCTTATCCACAAAAGTTCTCAGTTGCCATCATGGTTCATTTGTTTAGGGACAAAAGTAGCTGGCAAACTGGCTTTAAAAAAAAGGAACAAGTAAACACTGGCATTCTGAGTGCTCTCTGTAAGTGAAGATAAACAGCAGTGGTCAAGTGAAAACTGACCAGCTCTCTTTCCCTACTGCCGGCTGGGAACAATCTGGATCAAGGCTATCAACACATTTAAATGCAGAAATACTTTCATGATTTCAAGGCAGAACAAATATTTCTTTTTGTCTGTACACTTTTTAGAAGACATGAACAGTAACTTCAGAACAGAACATAGATGCTTGTTAACAAAGCCAATAACAATTATTGCTATGTCTAAGAATCAACAAAAAAACCACCAGTGTATTCCAAAGGCATTCGCTCACAAAGCAAACTCACTCCACACAAGCCCCAGCACAGAAACGTGATAGTATCTCATGATTTATGTTCTCTCAGCAGGTTGTACCGGGTCCTCCAGATTCCATGCTTGCCTTTGAAAGCAATTAAGTTTCCAGCACTTCTGGGAGCGACAAAAGCTCTCACTATGAAAACCTGCATGCTGCACTCATGCTGAGTCTGCAGCTTGGCAGACTGAAACAAAAGCACCACAAGAGGTGTGAACTTCCCCCACTTAACTCATCTGAGAGCATTAGTATGTGAAGGGTCATCTCTAGACTTTGATGCTATTTCCAAATCATGTCTTTGTCCAGTGCCCAAAGAGCCAGCTGCTGCTGCTGTGATTTGGAGAAAGTTTGCAAAGCCCCTCTCAGCCTGGAAAGAAAAATCCCTTTTCTCATCAGCCTGCACACAGGAAACTCGACAAGTTCAGCTAATGTGAACTATTCTAATTGCTCACAAGACAGAGTACCCTTACTTACATAAGAGCATGTCCAGACACCTCGATGAAACCTGGGTCCTGCTGTGCTATGCACTGAACAAACACCTGCTCCATGGAGTTTACAACTTGCACAGAGTAAACTGTACCTAAGGGAAGACAAGGGCAAGAAGCACATGTAGAGAAGTAATCAACAGGCATTTCACACAAGCAGCGTGTGAATTCTTCTTGATTATAGTAGAGGAATGCTGCCTGATCGAAAAATACATCTGTTATATATCTCTGGCTGAATAAAACAAACAGAACAGCAGTAAAGTCAAACTCTTAAACATCCTGGTCCAAGCAACAAAAGCCCCAGTGCTGTCCAAAAAACAGACTGCCTAGACAAGGCACAACATCTTTTACCTTCTGAAGATAGAAAAAAGCCAAAGCCATTTCCCATCACTGCTCTAATTCTACCCAAACTGCAGGAGAGTGACCTGGCGAAGCCAGAGCGCTGAGCCGGTGTGACAAACACGGCAGTGGGGCACACGGAAGGACGTGTGCCAACCGGCAGCCCGAGCACACAGGGAGGGCAGCTCCTTCCAGGCACGGTGGTGACAGTGACCCCCCTCTTACTTACAGCAAGGCACGCTGGCCTGAGACCTCAGCCAAGGGCAGTTACTCAGGGATTGCCCTTACACGTGGAGTTCACATGTCATTATCCTGCGGCTAACGAACTTGCCAAGACCTACATTTTTTCATATCGACTTATTTTTGCACCTTAGACTCAGCATGTTGGGTTTTCAGGGTTTATCCTCACAACTCCAAATAAAATCAGCTAGAGTGATGCATACTCAGCACCCAGTATTCTGTAATTTTATTTTTTACTTATTTACTTACTTATTTTACTTTTTACTTTACTCGTACCTGTTTTCTCTGTTATACAGTAAGACACCCAATTCTGTGCAACTACCTTAATCTCAGATAGTGTCATTTTCAAATTTATTTAAGCCCAGTTTTGAGAGTTAACCTGGTTCTGTTTCCTTCTGGCAATATCTGTGGTTTCATAACTTTAGTTTTTTGTACCTCTCACTCACCTGTTACAAAGCAAGACTTACAAATTCAGAAAAATTATTTATCAGGGAGATCTGCAAAAAATGACCAACTGTGATTTTCTATCAGATTTAGAAGAACATTTCCCGCTCTCATCTCCTTCACTTAAAGTTGCAATCATCTCTAAGAACCAGAGGTAAGTGCTTTTGGAGGCAGAAATGTGTTTAAAGACACATAATAGCAAGAGTGTAAGATGTTTCAATGTGCTCTAAGCCCTCTTTAAAGTGCTTAACATCTTAGGATAAAAAGTGTGAGCAACTATGAGCTTGGTCACAAATAGTTCATTAAACATACAAAAATATACAGACATGTAAAAAATGTTAAGCCAGGAGCTAAAAGGCAAGGAAATACCAGAAATGTGCCCAATGTACAACATCTAATCTTTATTCTTAACTTTGTGATCACACAGGACTTTTTTCCACAGGAAATGGTGCCATTCATGGTATAGTAAAGCCATTACTCTAGCTTTCGGTATTACTGAATAAGCGCTCCTCAGTTTGCTTCATTCTCAGTATTAAAAATGGCCATAAACACTTTGCTTTAAAGACAGAACAACTATTTCCTTCTAGGTTATTTTCTGGCTGTCACCATATTACCTAACTGCCTGATTTACTAAAATTAGCACATGTTCACAACACCCTGGTGAGGAGAGTTTTTTCCCCCCATCACAGAGACAGAGAGACTGAAACTGTGGACAAAGGTCTCTTCCAAACCCAGCTATGCTGCTTGATGAGATTTTCCTCCCACACATGTGCTCAGCACCAGCTGCCCCTCTTCCTGTGCTGACTGTCTCCCTTCAGAAGTGCTAGCAGTCTGGTGTAAAAACGTTTTGTAATCCATTATGGTGAAAATAAACTGGAGCAGCTACAAACTACTCTTTAGGCTCTTCTATGGTAACCCAGTTTTGCCTCCTACCAGCTGGGGAGCACTCACCAAAGAGGGTCCTGTCTAAAGGGAGGTGCAGTGAGCATGTGGGAAGCTTGTGCTGACAGAGGCAGACCCAAAAGAGGGCACCTGCGCTGGTCAAAATCATTACCAGGGCTGAAACTTTTAAATGAAACCAGACCTCTTCTATTGGAGGAACAGAGATAACTGCAAGCTATCAAGGATCTCACGTGAACCAAAGCTGTAGCACCCAGTTTGCAGTCACAGATTCATGCTGACAGCACAGGCACAGCAAGATTAAGGTGTGGGAGCAGGTGGAAAGAGATGCATTCACACGAGGTGCTACTGCCAGCAACACACTTGTTGCATCCTCTTCAAGGAGATTGCTTCTCCACCACTGAGCTGCTAGAACAAAGTGTATGAATGCTCTTCATCCCCTTCAAGTGTGAAGTTAGACACTTTGAACAGACTTAGGTTTAAGCTAAACTGTATTTTCACACCAGGGTTTTTGTACTGGTGCAGAGGGACAGGATTGCATGAGTCAATCTGCTGTCTCAGTAGGGCTACGAGGCTGCATCAAGCACTTGGGCTACAACAAACAACCACAGGTGAAATGATCCTGTATCTTCACACCAGACAGGACAAGCAGCATCCAAGTGCTACCTCAGGAATCACAAACTCCATACCAATGTACAGAACAGAGATTTCCCTTTTCTGTGGCTTAAGTTCTGCTGCTTCCCTCCTCAGACTTCACACCAGCTTCCTCTCAGTTTCTCAGCTTAATTCCAATCACATCACACAATACACCCCTGGCAGTCACATCAGCTCCAAAATGCTGTCCCCACACTTGGTGCTTTTGGTGTTAACTGCCCTGGATCTCCTGGTTCAGATAGTGCCATGTTCCTCATTACTACTCCTGAGCACATCCTCCACAGCTTGTATTCTCTCTCCATCCTTTCCTTTTGCTGCACACTGTCTGGGCAAAAACAGCTTTGCTGAAAATATGGGACAACAGTCTCCTTTTCTTTGCCTCCTGTATGCCTAGGACCACAGCACTCAGGAGACCGATGTAGAAATATCAAAGCAAGTTCTTCAGCTCTAAAATACAGCATACTCAATGCTCCCTAACGAGCTCCTGCTGTGTGGGTACAAAATGAGAGCTATTAGACTTTATATACTGACTGATTATGGACAAGTTTTGCTGCAAATGAGAAGGCAATTCCCTAATATTGGGGCAACTCTACAGCCAAATTTCAAATATTCACCCCCAAATGTGAAGGTGCTACACAGGTACTCAAATGAAACAGCTGACCTATTTTTAAAAAAGGTACAAAACATGCAGAGTTTTGTATTTTGTTCTCAAGACAACCTGAATCATTCATGCTGAAAAGTAAAAAGAAAGAAAAATCAACACTAAACTGCCACTGCTTTTGGAAAAAAAGTCAGTTTAAAAGGTTATCCTGGAAAAATCCTGAATGTTGTGCAATGCTGATTGTAGGCAGTTCAACCTGCTTTTCCTACATTACTTGTGATTTCCTACAGCTATTACTGAGAAAGTCCCTCAAACAAATTCATGATATAGAATAAAAATGAAATATTATAGGCTCCAGTGATGTCTGGACATATCTCAACAGGAGAACTACAGACTATAATAAAGATGCCTATTAGTGAGGCAATAGATAGCTAACACAGAAGACAACACTGTGCAGTGAATTTTTGACTCAGATATGCAAGAGGCCGGAAATCTAAGTGTCACAGTAACAGCCTATTTACAACAATTAGGAGGAAATGTTGATTGGTTTCTATAGACACAAACATTGATATTGACACTTGAATCAAACAACTGGTCTTATGTCTGAAAACAAGGTCAACCTGTGATCATTGTGGTCCAGCAGACAAAGAAAGACAGCAAGAAAATCTTGTTGATACATTACTTTCACCACCTAAGAGTCAGGTGATTTGGCTACAAGAAAGCAAATAAAATTTCTTTAAACCAAACACTTAGTTCTTTCATATAGCTTTTCAGCAGATGACTCTGATGTGAAAGTTTGTGGTTTTTGTTCCAGCAGCCGGGTGGGCTGGATTCTGATCCACTATGCAAATGATTCAAGTGTTTTTCATTTTCTAGGGTGCTAGCTACATTCCTGAACCCTCTGCAAAGGAAACAACCACGGCTGCTGAGCCTCACAAGAAAAGAGCAACTGGCTATGAAATGTTTTTTCCTCAAAGATGACTACCACCCAATTTTATGGCATGACAGAGAGGAGTTGTAAAGTCACTGTCTCCTTGAGTAACTCTTTTGAAATAGAGGCAGAAGGTCTAACTTTCTAATTTTATTGAAAGAGAGGCAAGCAGGAATATTCTACCATGCAACATTCCAGATCTGGGCTTTGCAGAGCATCTTTTCAATACTGATGCTAAACCTCTCAGATTTTAAGGAAGATGTATGATCAGAGAAAGAAAAAAACTCTGCAAAATAGGTCCCGCTTAGATGGGATCCCTCCCTTTGTTGGATGGGACCCTCCTATAAGGACAAACTTGACTTGCAGGCCTCGATGCTTCCTACTTACTCTCCTCCCCAAAATGAGATGTTAAGCATGGGTTTGCAGGGGTGATTTAAAAACCAGAAGTCTTAAGGAGCAGCAGGCAGGCAGCCTCCAGATGCAGAGGTGGAGAGAAGCTACAGATGGGCTGATCTCTCAGGCACTCCACTGGAAACCAGGGAGCTGGGAACAGGTCTGCAAAGGGACTTAAAACACTGCTGAGACTTTCTGAAACCTCCTAAGATAAAAGTCAGGGATTTAACCCCATCACACTGTATGACACAAATTCTGTCCTGTCTTCAAACATCACAAAACCCACATATTTCCAGCAGTACATATAGAAACACCTGACTTTTAATACCTATAATAAACTACATCCACACTGGGAGAGTCTGAAGCATTACTGCCATATCTTCATAACCTTGATGAGAGCTGTAGCACAAAGAAAGCCTGTGTGGTTTTTTTATCCCATATAGACAGAGCTCTAAGTTTCTGACTTCTGTACTAAGTTGGACTTCTGGGCTCTTAACCATCTGAAACAAAACAAAATCCCAAGCTCTGCAAACATCATCTTGTCTTCTGCATTCATCTATTGCATAGGTCTATTATGTGAACCAAGTTGAACT